TGGCAGCCTCCTGACTGATCTCCCTGCTTCCACTCTTGCCTGCTTACAGCTCGTTGGCCAGAGAACAGATAGAGGGATGTTTCTCAAGTATAAATCAAATCATACCATTCCCCTCTATGGAGTGGAGGACTAATAAATATTTGTTGAATGAATCAGTCAGGGGCCAGTGAGGACTGGTGCTGACCATAGAAAGATCCATATGGCAGGGACGGGGAAAACTAAAAGAGGCTCAGAGAGCCAGAATTTTAAGAAAGCCTTGGTTCATGTGTATAGTCCTCTCTTTACTTGAAAACCCAGGTGTGGAAGTCTGCTTCTATGCATTGACCTGCTGTGAACACTTCACTGCTTACGCAGAGACAATCCACTGAAGGCCCATCAAGGTTTTCTTGTATTCACTTAGATTCCAAACAGCTGCCTAGGTTTGGTTAATAGTCTATGATGATACCTGGAGAGGAGCCAGTTTCTGAGACAGCTGTCTAAGTGAGAGGAAGATTCCTAACTTGCTTCTTGCATCAGCTGGGTCTGGAAGGATAGGCTCAAACCTCTCAGGTGATTGGGCCTATTATTTTTCCAAGTTCACTCAGCTTGAGGTTCCTGCATAGCTGTTCGAGTGCCCACTGTCTCTGCTGGCATTCATCTTGCAGGAAGATCCTAGGTTTGATTCCCTGAAGTTTGGTCTTCAAGTTTTTAAGCAGAGCCAGTGCGTCGGTGAGAATCTCCACAAAGCACTAGGAAACACAGCACCGACTGTTGTGTAAAACATCACAACTCATTTAAGCGATCATAGAGTAATGACAGCAGGGATTCGGATAGGGCTCGATGTTTGATCCACCAGGAGTTTCAAACGGCAATTATCATTAATTCTTGGATTCCCTCAGTCCTGATAGACAATCAAGGCACCCAGAAACTATCATTTTGTGAACAGACAGCTATTAAAAGTGCATTAATGATCTATAGTGGGTATAGCATATGCCTCTTAAAAAGATTTGCAGCTTGTTTCTCTGTGGTGAAGACACAGGACTTTTCCAACCTAATTACAAAGCAATCAAACAATTTAATTAATCTAGAAATCACTTTCTTAACAATAACTGCTTCTAACATGAGGCACCCTGAGCAGCACCATTAGGTAAAGGACCGTTTTGATGTACTGCTTGTGTATTAGCCATGCTAGTTCCCCCTGGGGATCATGGAGTTAATTACCTACCCAATGCCTGACCTGCTAAGGTTTACTTTACCAGGTCAGAAACATCAGCAGCGATACCAGCAGTCTATAAAGTGTCCTAGCACTCAAACATCCAAGAGCCAGCAAATCCCTGAGAGCAGCAGGATTGGAGTTATAAGCGAGTGCTGCACATATGGGCAGAGAATTAACTGGCACCAGTTTTCGTTTGAGGGTCTCTCAGGTATTGCTTTGCAGATGGGGGGATGAATTCGAAGAGCAGTGCTGTGAGGAGTGAAGGTCATGTATAGGACTCTGGTTTCAGTCCATCTTGCTTTCTCATCCTGGGGAAGCGCTGTGCAAGTCCACGGCAGTCTCGTCCTCATCTCTGAGTTAAGAATATATAAGCCATGCTTTATAATGTGATCTATTCTAAATTAGCAGTGTTTTGATCACTGTACAACAAAATAGTGTCCCTAAGTCTTCAGAGACCTAGTAGATAACTTAGAAATCAATTTTTATTTCAAATAAGAACAAGACTGCAAAGATTGAGTTCTACTGTCTAATCTGCTAATCTTGTAATTTCTCCCTAAGGAAAATTGAGGAATTCCATGATAAACGACACAAAAATCTACAGAATACTCATCTGCCCTTTTCCTATACTGTCACTACCACCCCACTCTCTCAAAATTCCCTATTAACGAGGCAGTCATTCTCCAATCTACCTACGTTAGAAACATCACTCACTTTTAGTCTGTAATCTCTTTCGTCACTGTTTCTAATCCGTCACCAATTATGTTTGGTTTGCTCACCAAAATATCTTTTCTGTTGGCCTTCCATGTCATAATCTAGCCCTCCTCCTTGGCCACTCCTCTCCACCCAGCACACACATGCCAGGTTAAAATCTCTAGCATCTCTCTCTTGCCTCCAAACACCCCTAAGGCCTCCCACTGTTTAGTACCAGTCAACATAGTTCACAGCGCGTTGGCTTTACCAGTCTGAGTTCCCTGCTTCCAGAGAGCCTGTCTCTCCTGCATTGCCCTGCTGTGTTTGGGTTGTTTCTGTCACCTTCCTGAAGTCCTTCCATTTCTTCTCTTACCTCGACTTGCTGAACTGCCCTCAAATTAAGCAAATTAGTCTCTTGCCCTTAAGGAATTATCAGGTATTCTAGTTCACACCACCATCATTTTCTCTAATATCTCACTATGCTTAAGAGCCTTTGTAATGGGGGGGGGGTGTTTCCATTTCAATTTAGCTCTTCAGTCTGACATGAAACAAGAAGAAAGATCTGTGATTAGTGAAATAATACAGATGGCTGTATAGTCTTGAAATTGAAGATGTAGGAATTTGAGTTTGGTTTTACAGCAGTGTAGGAGTAGCTGAGGAGAAAATGAGGAATATTTTCAATTGATGGTCCTGGAAAGGCAGCACAAGATGGTAAGGCAAAAGTCGAAGATTAGAAATGGTTAATGGTAGCCTTGATTTTTTTTTTTTTTGAAGAGCAGAGTTAAATTAAGGTACCTCTGTATCTCTGTCTCTATCCATTCATCCTCAAAGTGATGGGTCACTGTGTATTATAAGATGTTACATGGCTTCCAGGGAGCCACTCATTAAAATCGCTAAAAGTGAAAAGGGTTTTAAGTTAATTCCTGGTTTCTCCCTTCTTCAGATTCTTAAAGATATTTAATAAGCTCTCTGTAGTTGTTCTGGTTGATCTCATTAAAATCTCTAGATATAGTGTTCTCTTTACAAAGAACACAGGGCTAAGACTTTGGTGCCAAGTTTCATTGGCCTTATTATTTATTCTAAGTGAATAGGGGAGCAGGGATTGTTCTCAGAATGCCTTGGCTTCAAACAATCCATTGTTCGTTTCTCCTAATAATTTACCGGTAGTTTGCTCTATATGGGGTGTGAGCAAAGTGCATGTTTGTTTCAAATAAAAAACAAAATCTACATGAAGATTTCTGGAGTTAGATTTGTTTCTCTTCAGGAATCAAAATTTTCAGCCATCTTGAAATCATCAAGACCTTTTAAGGAATATGAAGAGTGATGTACAAGCTAAGTTGAGGAGGGGGGCGAGGGGAATGAAGGCTGTTGAGAAAAGTTGAAAGAACTTAATTTAGCTGTGTAGATAAATGGACAAAAGAGTCCCGGATGACTGGATGACAAAAGCAGAATCCATTTCTCCAGGGGCCCAAGGAACAACAGATGCAAAGGCATGATAAATTTCATTGCAGCAGGGGGAAAAATGCTTCTTGATTCTCTATCCATAAAGAAATGAGCTTCTCAGCTCTTCCCAGTTAAATGGCTTGAATTGTGCTGTCTGTCATAAAGTTAATAGCATCTGTTGAAGACATCGCTATAAAATTTGCAACCTTGATTTAATTGAAAAATTTCATTAGAGGTGTAGCCAGTCCAGAAGTTCTCAAAGTAACACTAAATTTATCCTCTTTAATGTGTTAGTCTAATCTTGTTGCATACAGGTGATAAATTGTTTACCTTTACAGCTAGGTACTGACTTGAACGTGCAATCTTGTATTCCTTACACTTAATTACAATTGTTGCTTCCACTAAAGAATCAGTAATGTGGCAACTGGCTTGCTGTAAAGGATTAAATGTATCTTCCTGATTTATTTTCTGTGTTTCAAGAATATGCAGGATTAGTTTGCAGCCTTTCCTCAACTCCTTATTTAAACCAGCTGCAGTCCCATCCAGTCCTCTCACAATTCTGCCAATCTCATTGAACATGCAAAGGGAAGCAGAGTGGTCTGGAGTGTCCTGAACTTCTCTTCACCAGCTGCCTGCCAAGCTCAATTTCTCAATGATCGGCAGCAGGTTGAGTGTTCTAATAGAAAAAGTAACAAGCCCCCAAGGAGCTGCCTCCTTATATGAGCAGTCCGTGCTCCGCCTGCCTCGGAAGGACTTGGGGAGAACAGCCTCTGCCAAGCTTTGTGTGGCTGTGGCTTTTAAAGGCTGCCTGGCCAGTCGCAGCCCAGCTGCTAAGGAGCAGAGGGACAGTTGATGAAAGTCTTGATGAGGGCTGATTTTGCTGGCCACTCTGGCCATGCTGAGATAGAGCTGGGTCATTTTAGAAATAGGTCCAAACTGCTGGCTTCTTCCCAGTATTTTATGACTAGTTCTGACATTTCTACCTTTAAAATGTGTGCTTTGGAATATGAGGATTTATTTTTAAGAACTCAGACTTTTATTAAATTTCTGTAAATAAAAAAGACTAAGGCTGCCTTCCTAAATTAGAAAGCACTCCCACAGTTGAAACATATACTTCCCCATTCATCCTGCTGTTTGAAATGTTAACATAAGAACCAAGACATTTGTATAGCCATGTGGCCCTTCACGACGGGGATACATTCTGAGAAATGCGTCATTACACAATTTTGTCATTATACGAATATCATAGGGTGTACTTACACAAACCTAGATGGTACAGCCCACTACACACCTAGGCTCTATGGTGCTGATCTTAAGGCACCACCGTCATATGTGCTGTCTGTTGTTCACCGAAACATCGTTATACAGTGCGTGACTGTGTATTTGCTGTTTTATAGGACTGTAATATTTAAATTATTGAATATCTGGAAGATTGCTGGTTGGTGATCTAGATGAATGTCTTTTTGCATATATCTCGCACACTTGGAAAGCTGTGCTGGAACTGGAGCCCTCCACCCCAATCCCTGCTTTAAGTAAAACTAAAACATTTTTGAGGAGATGGACATTTTACAAAAGTGTACAGAAACTTATTACTAAAGAGAAGATTCTGGATGTGGAAAATGACACAAAAACAAAATCATGTTGTAAATTTTTCTCTTCTTTCTCTCTACAGGAAATAGCCCTCAAGATAGTCCAAGAAATTTCTCCCCCAGTGCCTCAGCCCATTTTTCATTTGCACGGAGGTAAGGGCTTCTTGTGAGTGGAATAATCAAGTGTTATCTAGAAAGTCCCAAGCCCCACCCCCTCTCCCATCATCCCTGCCGTCCCCACTCCCCCGCCTTCTCCTTTGCGAGGTCCTTCTCTGAAGCTGCCCTGGCCAAAGATAGCTTTAGGCCACTGCAGAACTTTGTTATAAACACTCCTGCTCTAACAGTTTTAATAATGATTTCTGCCTCATGGTAGAGTTATCTGTACTTCTCTTGGTTTCACTAGATGGTGGGCTCCCAATGAGGATAGGAAATGACTGTTTCCATCTTTTCTCCCATCCCTGGTGCAGTCCCTTATACATGCATGATGCTCAACAGATTTTTACTGAATTATCTGAGCTTGTATTATAAGGACTTGATTTATCTGTGTGTCCTGGTGCAGTTGTTTTTGTTGAAATATTTTTTTTTTTTAAGTAAAAATGACCTTTCTTGAGATCACCAGGTATACTAAACTCTCTAAGATGCTCCTTTATTTGAGAGCATCAAGCCAGCAATTTAGTGATCCCTGAAATAAAGCCATGCGTGAACTATAGGATGGTTTATGTTTTCTCTTCCTATCTTAGTGAGAAATGGGCACCAAATATCATAGATACCTATGTCTCATATTTGGGTCACTGAGTCAATAAGAAGTGTGGTTGTTGCTCCAGGGATAGTGTGCGTGTGATCTAATATTAAACCTTTTCAGTTCTGGATCTTCTGTGGTTTTGTCAAGTCAGAGGAGTCCGCACAGCCACCTCTTCTGTGTCCTGCATGTGGAATTAGTGTACTTCACCCTGTCGTATTCAAACCTTCACCTTCCTGGGCTCCGTCCTTCCTCTCACATATATATATATACCGTGTCCTCTTCTGCCCAGGAAAAACACACAGAAAACAAAATGCCCCTTCAGCCAGATCTCTGAATATTCAGGACAAATTTGGTTTATGGACTGAATGTCCTAGATATTTGCTAAATTTTCCTCAGAGACTTAACCATACCTTGAAGTGAATTAAAGTAGCACTTATTAAGACACATAGGTAGCTTGAAAAAAATAGATTTAACATGTTACTAACCAGCAAAACCTGCAGTGTCCTCACAGCCATTTGTTACGTATTTCATATTACTAATTCCAGAGAAAAGGGTCAGTTTGCCGCATTTCCAGAATTCTCAGTAATTAAGATTCCCTTGTAAACATCACACATTCCCCACCATATGGTAAATGCCCATGTGTGTGAGGTGCCAGCCCTCCACCGTGGGGAGGGCACAAGAGTAATTAAGCAGTGCTCCGAGGAACTTCTTGAGACCCATACTCCGATTTTCCCCAATTCCGACTTTTATTCTTTCAGTCCTCATTTTAAGCACTGTAAAGAAATGTGAAAATTAACTGGGCCCACAAAGCCTGTGTTTGCCCAATGAATATTAATTCATGATGGTGCAACTATGCTAAGTGAAAAACAAAATCTTATAAAAATTGATAAACAAGAACCCACCATAGTCTTTAAAACAAATCTCTTTAAAAAAGAGAATGCATTTAATTACTTTAAGTAATAAAAAAGTGCAAACCTCATTACAGCTTGCATTTAAACATGACAGAAATCATAGTCTCTTAATCCTGCCAGATTTATAAAAATGAAGAGAATTTAATAATTAAGTGGGTGACTGGAGGACAGATGAATCTGGTTTCTGTGCTATTAAAAAAATACACAAACCCCCAGGCATGTTAATTTTTGACAAATAAACCATAAACCGTGACAGAAGATTATCACAGGAGACCTCTAGTTCATTTTGCACGAATTTCCAGATGGAACTCCCTCCACACTCTTCAAAAAGTATTAATTTAGATTAGGACATGAGTGATCATCTATTTATACTTTTAGTCAAGTAAGCAGAACCCTGTGTTTGCTATGAAAACTCAAATTGGCATATTTTTATTTAACATCTGGGGTCTTTCTCTTCCATTTTAAAGTTGATTTTCATTCAGGAAACAGAAATTCCACTCCTAGGTCTCTCCATTTCCTTCCATTTCATATGCAGCTCTGAGCCTTTAGGAAGTAATGCCATTTTAAATCTCCCACATTTTATTATTTTGTATATTTAGTCCAACAGAGGAGAGATTGTCCTGTTTTAAAAATTATTCTTGGGTGAAGGGATAAAGTTAAGGCTTAGTAATCTTTTCTGATTTTACTTATACCATGTGATAATGCTCCCCTGGTAGACATCCCCTGTAATGTAATAGCTTAGACTGGAAAATATGATGACACACACTTCCTTTCCATATTATCTGATACATATTTGACAGTAAAATTATCAAGTTAATTTTTTAATAGTAAGTTAAAATATAAGGATGAAAATGAGCATCATAGTATAGTAGATTTTGTCTGGAACAAGGAAACATATTTTACTTTGCTAATAACTGTGATACTGATTTACAATCCATCTGATCGTGGAGTTCCTCAACTTTTTTTTTCCTTGGTGGTAAGATGAAGGTAATAATGTTCTGCCTTTCCCAGAAGCTGCAGAGGTTTCTGCGTTATAAATTGCTTTCACTTGCATTGAAAAGAAATTCACAGCCCTGAGTATATGCCATGGGTGTCTCCTAGTTGCCTAGTTGATATTTACCAGGTTAAATCTCGGAATATGTTTTCACAAGTAAATTACTAGAACAGACTTGCTTGCTGACTTCAGGTCATCAGACACTTGTTGAGTGCCTGTGGGCAGAGTTACTCTTTTGGTTGGTTACATTATATTGGCATAGTTCAACTTGTTCCAATACCAACTAGAATATAAAATGGATCACGCCAGGTGACCATGACAATTAAACAAATAAAGAAATCTACTTCCTCTTTATACAGTTATAATAGCCAGGTTGATATTGGGACTTTTCATTCTTTGTTATACACCATATTAATCTAAATTTTTGTGGGTGGTGGTGTAAAATGTTTTTTTTTTTTTTTGCCAATCTCTTTGCATCCTGTGTTCCCATCAGATGTTTTTCCCTTCTTACTTTTTCATTTAGTGTAACATTGATATTTCCACCCACAAAGAAAATACTCTTTTCAAAAAAGCCTTGTTGCTTTGGCAAGACTGTAGTCTTGTCTTCAGATAACGTTTTATTGATAGCTACTGCAAAGAAAAGACAACATTGTTAGTGGGATCCAAATTGCACTTGTGTGATAGCTTTCTTGAAGAAAGGGCATGCTCTTCCTTAAGTACTACTGTATATAGCGTATATAGTAACTTCTGATGTGCAGTTGTCATGGTCCTTTGTGCTCCATTTGAGTAAATAGACACGGACAACTTAGGGAACCTTATGAGACATAAATTATTTCTGGTCCGTGGCTACACAGAGTGCTGAACACATTCTTGTTTAAACGTCTTTCTAGTTGTGTGTTTTCCAGAGTAAGCAAGTGTAATTTATGCTTCAGAACTCATAAGAACATGTCGCCTCTTGGAATTGTTCATTCGTCTGAAATATGTTCATTGATACCTGAGGGAAAGGAGAGTTAATGAATCACAAAACAAAATCATGGTTGGGGAAATTGTGTCCCTCACTCTTTCCAAAGATAATTGCTATTAAATGGACTGAATAATTCTTTTAAAATCATATGCTTTTCTTTTAAAAGTTGGAGGTGTTTAAAATATAAAGTACAGGCATGAGTTTTTAAGTCTTTAATAAGTAGCCAAATAAAATAGGACCAATCTGTGTCTATTTAATTGATAGACGTCTTTATAAGCAAGTTATTATAATTGTCTTCTTAAGTCTGTAACATTTTCACTTGTTTAAAAATATTTTTAAAGAATATATGGCTTAATTCTCCCCATTCATTTTATCTGGTATATTTATAAACATCTTATTTTGCTTCTTTTTTTAAAAACATACTTGATTCAATTGTACTTCAATCATGATCACAGAAATGAGAGGTAAATTTTACTAAAATCTTAACATTGTAGTACTTCTGTGATTTGTCCACTTGAATTTCTCCATTTTGTCTTTGTGGACCATTTGCATTTATTGGAGGCAACATCTATGGTACCCTATGATTATATTTTCCCTTGAATGTAATTTAGGCTAAAATGTCAGTTTTTTACATGAACATCTAATTGTGACATTTCTCAAATTCAAGTCTAATACTGTTGAATTCCCTGACTTCAACTTATTATGCATATGTCTGTGGTAAATTTGGTCCATTCTTATCTCTCACTTGGTAAATTAATATAATCGTGAATTACAAAGTCTACATATGATACTCTGTCTAAGAATGCAATATAGCGCTTTATACAGTGTGTTTTTTCTGTTTTCCCCTTGGCAAATGTGCATGTATTTGTTTTCACAATGTTATGTGATTTTGAAGACACAGTCTTTACTTGAAATTGCTATTAAAGTAATGTCTCTGGAGGGCCGGAGATTTCAGAAAATTTGTTTTCTGGTGTCCCCTTGTCTTAGCAACAGTATTGTCTCTACTACTTCATTTACTCATTTGAGGCCCTTGTAATGACCCTAAATCAAAACCAGAGTCCCACCCAGAAGCTACCCATTCTATAACCATTTGGAGATAAAAACCAGTCTCTTCAAGACTCCTGACAGCTTTGCTTTTATGACTGGGCAGACAACTCTACTCTTTGCATTAGGTTCTATCACTAGTGGAGGATTTTCATTCTGCCCCTGCTGTCAGTGGCCGGAGCTGGGCTGCATACTCATAAACTCTGCCAGAGGCTTTTGCAGCAACACTTTGTAAAGCCAGGTCATGTCAGAAGGCAGGAACTCTTAAGACATTTGGAGCATAAGGTCAGTCACTTTTCTTAGTGCTAAAGTTATTTGCCACTTAAGGCCTGAGCCAGCCATGAGCCCGCTGATCCCTTCTTCCCTAGGTGTGCTGAGTGGAACTGTTCTCTTGAAAATAATAAGCGGCAAGTCTTTAGGATGCAGTGCAAGTCTTGTACCATGCTGGAATTCAGGCCTTTCCAAAGATCATGGCCCCAGTTATCAGTTTCCAGATAAGAGTATTTTTCCTCCTCTCTTTCTCTTTTTATTCATTTGAATATGCTGAGTCTGACCATTGTAATTATCCCTGGTATTCATTTTGTCAAAGTGTATTAGTGAGAGATCAATAATATGGATCAACCCATTCACTTGCTACTTGTTTGGGTGTATTGATTCAGTTTAAATAAAAGTCAACCTGCTGTATAATGTTTGTTTACCCTGGCCCTTGCTGAGCATTGCCATATCCTCACTGACTGTATTTGTGTCCCTTGTTTGACTGAGAATACTTGGTGTCCCTGCGGTCTCCGGGTAACATTACTCCAGCATTAGCCTAAGCTAATCTCCCTTTCTCAATAGGACTGATGGACGCCGCTGGTCCCTGGCTTCTCTCCCCTCCTCTGGCTATGGGACAAACACACCCAGCTCCACGGTTTCTGTAAGTGCCCGACTTCTTTGCTCTCCCTCACAACCACAGAGCTCTTATGCAGGCTGTTTTCTCTGCGTGTTTCCTGGTAGGAAGGAGAAGATAAATTCTGCATGTCTGCCACTCTGCATAGGTTACACATCAAGTGATGAGCTGACAAACATAAAAAGGGCATACTTTTTGCTGCAAGCTTTTAAACTCTGGTACACAAATTGAGTAAGTCCCACGATCACAAGTTTGGAGGAGACTGGGAGCTTTCGTTTTAATACCATTTGGTGTTTTGGGGGGAAAAATGCAATCTGGTTTTATTGCTTTGGTTCCACGCCAGTGATATTAGTACTGAAAATGCCATTAAACTTTGTGGCCTGGGTCTTTTTCTCTTGTGTGGCTTAGATGCAGGGTTTGTTTTGGGGGGGTTTTTTGGCAAGCTTTAAATTTGTCTGTGCCTTCTAGGTAAGAACTTTCTTTTAAGGAGAGATTAAAAGAATTTAGTAGTAAGTTAAGATAAATAAAGAGACAAGATGAAACCATGAAAATAGAATAGAGGAGGAAGGATACGCTTGCCCCAAACTATAACCTTTCAACAAGAGCCTTAGCAATTACTGGAAATGATTCAGTAGGCTAGATATATGCTTCCTCAGTTTAAATTAGTCATGTTGTCAGGTGTCTGTCTCTGCAGAGCTTTAGAAGCCAGTGGTCATTTAGAAAGATCTGGTATGTTATAGGTGTTCAATAAATACCTAATGGAGTGGTCTGAATGCTCTTGTACCAGCTAGGAATGTGGCCCTGATGATGATTTTAGAGGCCCTTCAGATTCGTTTCCATTTCCTTTTTGTCAAAATCTGTGGTTTATTGTGCAGGGCTATCCAGCTATTGTTTTTTCCCACAGACTCCAGCACTGTGCTAAGCATATAGATTCAGCTGCTTAATAATACTTGAATTGAAAAGAAACTATAATTAAATTTTTAAACTCTAACTGGTATCACTAATGCCTTATATTTTGTGTTTTCAGAATTCCATATGCAATACAATGTAGGTTTTCTGGAGCACCTTTAAAACGGACTTGTTAAAATCTGTTGGATTATTTTTACCATCTCCTTATAGTATTTTATTGAGGAGAGGTAATTTGTTTTCCTATCCGTTATTCCATTTTGTTGTGCTATGTGAGTTTATTGTTCATTTAGATCAATTTTGTGAAACATCCTGACAACCTTGAGTAGTTTCAGTGGCACATCAGCTTCACATCAGGAAACGATGCTTAAAACTCCTGAGTGGCTTCAGTGGATAAAATTGTCACTAAATAACAGTAAAGTCACCCTTGGTTATTGTGTCAGGAACCATCATTAGTTATTGGCCCATATTGTAGATGTTGAAAATGTGAACAACCACAGTGTGGAAACAAATGCTAAAATTGATTGACCAGAGAGAAAAAAAGAGTAATTTTCTAAATTTTAATTATTGTTCTTCCCCAGACACTTGGGCATCTCCATGCTCAAAACTTATATTATGTCTCTTGACTCCAAATTCTTTTTTACTTCAACTAAACCACCTTGCTTTGCCCTTCAGTCAAGTTTTATTATAGTTTGGATACAGAAATTTCCCTTTTGCAAGAAAAATAGGGGAGAGTAGAGGATCATTCTCCTTTCCATCTCTAACTAGTAAATCATACACCATTTTTAAAAGTGAACCTGTAGGGACTGGCCTGGTGGCGTAGTGGTTAAGTTCACTCGCTCCGCTTCAGTGGCCCGGGGTTCTCAGGTTCGGGTCCCGGGTGCAGACCTACACACTGCTTATCAAGTCATGCTGTGGCGGCATCCCACACACTAAATAGAGGAAGACTGGCACAGATATTAGCTCAGGGCTAATTTTCCTCAGCAAAAAGAGGAAGATTGGCAATGGATGTTACATGAGGGCCAATCTTCCTCACCAAAAAAAAAAAGAAAAGTAAATCTATAAAAAAGGGGTGAGCTACGTAGAATCGGACTTCATCTGATACAAATAATTTTAAAAAACATTTTTTAAATAAATGTTTATTATGTGCTAGGCACTAGTCTACTTACAATGCATTGGCTCTTTTCATCCCAGCAATGTACCCTGTAAGGTAGTTACCATTGTTTTCTTCATTTTGTGGATCAAAAATGTGCAGCACAGAGAATGAACTGAGGGGCTGTTTACCAACCCCCTTGTTTTACCAATAAGAAGACAGTAAGTGTTCTACACCCCAGGCCCCTGGCTCTTTTTAAGGAATTTACATGGTATTTCTTAAAACAAACCTTGTAATTAGTAAGCCTGACCTGGCCATCTGTCATAATGGAATCACTGCTGTCCCTGATTCCATATGTGCCTCCCGAGACAGTTTCTAGTCACACACACATATTCCATGTTTCTAACAGCTTCTGACCCAGAGGTAAGACAGCTTTTCTCTGAAGTGTTTATTTTATTGAAGAAGGTAGTATCATATAATTGTTGATCTCAGATTCCTATTTTTTCCTTCAAAATGAAATTTTAGCTTTCAAAATTATTCTCTTTGCCAAAAGACATAAGGAACTGTGAAGTTTGTGGAGTGTAGGTGCTGTTGCACAAAGTTCAGCTATCTTTTCTTCCTGTTGGTTGTTGATAAAAATGGTAAGCGAAAATTTGCTCACCATTTGCTACTTCTCATTTCCTTCAGTTTGTGTTCTTGTCCTGTAAATATTGGGGCAAAAATTGTGCAAAACCGCTTAGTAGTTGCATTTTCTTCTTTTCTAAATCAAACCTGAATCGCTCTTAGATTCTTGTTTCCTGGGTTAACTCTTAGTCATTTGGCCAATCAGAAATGCCTTTTAGTTACTTTTTAAATAAAAATACAGAATACATACAAATAAAATTATAAACACTTTAAAAATATAGCTTAAGTTTTACAGGTCATTGTGTTGTTAGCTGAATTCCAGAACTGCTTATGCTGAAACGTAAACATCATGTCTTTATCCTTTGAATATTACAGAAACTGCAAAATTGGCAAGTGTTAAAAATGCTGTATTCTGAAATTGGAAAGATTCAGTCATGTGAAGTTAATCATTCCTTCCAGAGAATATTCAGTATTGCAACTTCTTTTAACTTCAAATTTTGCAGTTAAAATTAATTTGTGGAACTTTTCCAAGATAATATTCAGATCATAATTTTTAATCTTAAAATAAATAATATTGAATTGCAGCAGTAGAAGGGCATTCTCCCATATATTTCTTACTAGATAAAGTATTTTTATGCTGAGGGAAAGAATGGAAATAAGAATATAAATATCTATAAATATGAGGTATGGCCATAAAATGATATTACTTTTAATAAATAACAAGTAGAAAATTATGCATACATAAGAATACTGTCCTTTACAAAATGGTTATCTTGAGAGACTAAATGCTTATTTGAATGATATCATTATTCATAACATTTTTTGCAACTCTTCTAATTGCCTTGAGAACTAGCAGCACAGTTTTGTATGTAAATCTTCACTCTCTGAAAGTGGATTTGATTTATGATGTAGTCAAAAGTCATATGCAAACTAGTTGGGTGCTGAGATTCACTGGCACCACACTTAGAGAACATACTAGAAATATAAAGTAATGAGACTCAGTTTATTGGGAAACTCACAAACTCATTCTTGAAACTCTTGTAGAAGTGGCATTCTAAGGATGTTTTGACCAGTGGAGGTATCTTTTCAATAAGTGTATGAGGCTTTGGGAGCAGCCCCTGGACTGTCTGCTGTCCTGGCAGCTCTCTTCACTGGCACTGCGAGTCCTCTGAGTCCCAGGTCGCTGCTGAAACTGAACCTTGGACTTCTCTGTGGTCCAATATCAACTCACTTTTTGGGCCCCTTTTGGCACCTTTCAAATCCCCAGGATATTTTACTGGCCTACACTTGTTCCCAGTGCTGTAGACTCCTCCTAGTGTGACTTGGGTTTGATGTCACCCTTTTCCTATTTAGACCTTGCTTGTTCCAACTGAGACAGAAGAGGCTCTCTCCCAGAGAAGCTCCTTTCCTCCTCGCTTCTTTAATACTGTTAAGGTTATAATACTTACTTATACCACTGCATCATTCAGTTTAACATACTCGCATCAGTAAACACAGGGCACATTCCCTGTGGAGTTCAGTTATATGGCTATCTTTATGGTATAACCACCATATTCTCTTCTTAGAGTTAACACATTAACATTTTGTTAAATTTGCTATGGCTATTTTAAAATAAATTTTTATTTTGTTTAATAAATAAAATGTTAAAGACACCACTAAAGTCCTTCCCACCCAATCCCTTTATCCTCCCTCCCTCCACGGAGGGAACCACTCTCCTCAAGTCTCTTGGTATCGTCCCCATGCAAGTACAGGTCCGTAATACCTCATGAGAAACTCTGGAGCCCGGTGTGTTTTGGAATTAATTTTCGCATTTTAGAAAGGTAACATGATCCCTGTACTGTACATAACAACCCAACAGCAACTGGGCCAGCAGCTCATAGTCAAATATATTAGTATTTCCACTGCAACCTGAATCACATTCACACTAAGTGGATTAAATACGTATTTTAAATAGCTTCCTATCAGTTCAGTTGATGCTTTGCCACCAAAAGGGATTACTGTAAACTTAAGAATAAACTTATGGCTTTGGGAGTTTTGAAATCTTGGACACAGAATGTGGACATTGACGTACCTTTGAGACATATGTACAGTTCTTAATTCTGTTATTCTGTTCACTGATTTCCTTATTTTGCTTTTATCGCTGCTGCCTATCTTCTGCTTGCATTAATTTTATTATTCTTTTCTTGATTTCTTGAGTTGACTTCGTTGATGTGTTTTATTTCTTTTCTCATAGTGAGAGCAGTTAAGGCTGTGCCTGTACTTTCTGAATAGAGCTTTGGTTTATCTCATAAGTTTTTCTCATAGTGTTTTCATTTTTATGGTTTATAAAATAATCCACATTATTTTAAAAAACCCTCTTTGTGTCTGTATGTACTTAGTAAGGTGTTTTATAATTTCAAGGTATAAGGATATTTTTAAGCTCTAGTCATTAATTTCTAGAATGACTGCATTGCGGTGCTTCTGTGTTTATGAAGTGTGCTCTTAATGTAACGACAGAGTTTTTTTAATTAAAAAAGCCTACTATAACTGAATTTTCAAATGAATGGTATCTTTCAATGTATGCTTATTCTAACCATGTTTCCATTACTCAAACATTTCTTGATCTCTTTTGTTAGAATTGCTTACAGGGTTCACCTTCCAATCAAAACAAAAACAAAAACAATGGTCTCTTTGCTTTGTAGTTATATTTCTCAGATTGACTAAAAGCAATTTTATTTATCCATTTACCTTTTCTACCTTGTCTTGCTCCAAGTATTGAGTGACGATTTTCAAAAAGCAAATCTATACTCAAGAGATAAAAAACTTCACCACCACCGAAGCTGTTAAAAAAAAAAAAAAATGATAGTGTTAGCCAAAGAAGAAAGGAAAAAAATGCCAATTTTTAAAACAATGGCATTTTTGAGAAAAGTACCTTCTTTCCTTCCCCTTTTTACAGGGCACGTATCGATGGTAATTGCGTCAAAGGACAGCATGCTTTGTAAAGAGAGACCTCATTACCTTATTTATGATCACACATCAGAGAATTCATGTGATGGTACTTACCTAAAAGTCACAGTATTTGATTGTGAACAGCAGTAGATGTGAGGGTACCATACTCACTTGAGAACTAATGTGTCATTTAGGGCACTCAGATTCTCACTCCAATTGTCACCTTCTTGCTTTGGCTTTGACTGAGTCCTATCCATTTTCAGAGCCTATGTTTTCTCCAGATAGGAAACTGTCTTTTTGGGAAATTGTCTTATAGACAAATGAGATGAAATATGGAAGCCGTTTTGACCTCCCAGAGAAAGCATCAAGGTATACATTTAGGCACTAGTTATTGTAATTATAACATGAAAAGGGAACAATATAAAATGGTTGTATATCAAAGTTTAGTGCTTTGATATCATACTTATTTGAAGAATTTCTTTTTGAGGTGATCATGTAACCTCACTTTGGTCTCTTTTAGTCATCCTGTTCCTCCCAGGAGAAATTGCATCAGTTACCATACCAACCAACACCAGATGAATTACACTTCTTATCGAAACATTTTTGCACCACCGAGAGCATCGCCACGGAGAACAGATGCAGGAACACGCCCATGCGCCCCCGTTCCCGAAGTCTGAGGTGTGTAGACCTGGTTGGAAAATGTTACTTAATTGGATTATCTCTTTTCGACCATTTCAAGGGAAGACTTTTGCTCCTCTAATTCATACATGTTAAATGATTTGTGAACTACTATAAATATAGTGCGATTTCTCCATCTACACATGATATTGTTAATTACCATTGAAAGGCATCTTATTACTTTTCTTTTAAATTCTCACAATTTGCTAATTACTGTAGTGGCAGTAGTCATGATGGGCTAAAGGGACCACCTATAAAAACTTATAGCCATTGAAAATTTCAAGACAATCTAGGTACGGTGCAAAAGCAGTTAATATTTTAAGAGGGAGAAGCTTGACTGCAAAGGAAAGACAGCACTTTCAGATTCACACGTGGAATTCAGATTCCACATTATAAAAACCCAGATCTTTCATTCTTTCTTCTCATCATGAGTCTTACTTTCTCCAGGAGTTTGTGTCCCTTGAATTTTGTGGATGCCAAGTGTAGTCCATTTGACCCTGAGTACGGCCAGGTTTATTTTGACCTTGTTTTAAAAAATAATCTATTTTTTAAACAGTTTGGTTCTTCAGAAAGCAGACTCTAAAACAGAGATCAGGATGTTTATTAGGGAGTGCTCAGGATCAGCACCTGTGGAACGGGGGGAGGAATCAGGATTGGTCAGAGGGAGAAGTCTAGCTGCAGTACAGACCCAACAGCCACAGCCGACCCCTCAGGGAGCTCTGGGGATGGCATGACCATCAGAGTCGTCCCTCTGGGCTAAATGACCCTTCCTTTAAATCTCACCTCAGTCACTGGATGTAGAACCCTGGGAAGGACTTGGCCTGGCGTGAGGTGACTCTGCAGCTGAGGCCATCCCTAAAGGTTGCTGAGAGCAGAAGGCTTCTGCAGCCCCAGCAGCTGGGACAACACATCCTTCTCTCCAGGGGGATCAGGGCAGTCCATCCTCGGCTCCACTACAGTATGAGATTTTGATGCTATAGAATTGGTGTACTTTGATATATTAAGGTTTTATTATAAAAAATAGTTTGTCAGATGTTCAGTTGAATATCAGAGTTTACTGAGAAGGGTTTTCCCTTTGTACCTTTCTTACTTAGTATCATAAACTGATAGTAAATATAGCCACACTGGATAATTGTGGGTGTGTTAGGTTATTTTGAGATATGGAATAAAAGATCAATTATATGAATTCCTTTAATGACATTGTATCTTACCACACAGGTGCCCTTTTAGATTTTATGAAAGCAGTTCCTAGGATATCTAGTGCAAGCTATAAGCTCCCAGGAATATAAATACTCACACTGAAGTTGCATAACTATATGCCAGTAGGAAGGAATGTGAACCTACTGCTGAAATAGAGAAAAACGCCCAACAGTTGCATGCCTCTGTTGCATATTGTAAACAGTGCCTACCTCGGCATCCTAAATAAACGTTTGCTAGCCTAGAAAATGGATTTCAGTGGTGACACCTGTGCCATGGCAGACTCTTAAAGCTCTTGAGTGGTACGTGGCAGAGCGCAGGTGTACGATGAAACTGTGAAATTACACTGTTCAACGTGTCCTGGGTGGGGTTGTGTGTAACTACCCTATTTTGTTTCCTATGGCAGTTCATTAATTGGTTTCCAGAACTACACAAGTGCGTGCTACATACAAAATATAATCTCAGTTTAAGAATGTGTTGTGAGCTAGTTTTATATTGTAGCTATTATTAAATAGTGGCATTTCACTTCTTGAGCTTTCTTTTTGAATCCTTTTTAGGGCATCTCTGTGTTTATGGGTATTATGTGTACATGTGTACTAGTGACTGATTTTGTAGTTTATTACCTAATATACTTTTCTTACGAATGTTGCATAGTACTTTTGATGCAACCAATTGTTTATAAATAAAAGGCTTATTTTCGTTTCATGCTGTGGCAAGTTTAAAAGGGTAATTTGCTTTGCTTGCAGCCCTGGACGTTCTCCCGCCTGCTGTGACCATGAAATAATTATGATGAACCATGTCTACAAAGAAAGGTTCCCAAAGGTAATGAATTGAGTTGAAGATTCCTAGCATCTGAATGAACGGCAACATAGGGTTAGCGTCTGTAGGGTGGTTTTGTTGTGGGAAATAATGGTCCCGTCCAGTAGTGGTTTGCATACAACAGTACCATAGCCTTCTTGGAAAGATAAAATCTCTAAACGTTTTTATAAACTGCCGAGAACTAGCGACACTGTCTGTGTGCTGAACCGGCTGAAGTGAATCCTGCGGTTGTACCGCCCGCTGGGGGGCCTGGTGAGGTGCTGCGCGGAGAGCCGGCTTGGAGAGAGAGGCCTAGGCCCGCGTGCTCCTTGTGCCCATGTTCTGGGCCTGCTGCTGTGTTGGCAGGCAGAGACTGTTTTTCTTCCTCAGCAGCCTGTAGAATGGTATGTCAAGAAATTTACCTAAGTTTTCTTTTCTGTTGACTTCCTATCCCTTTAGCAATAATGTATCTAACCCTATTAATTTAGAGGGGGAGGTACAATTGCAGTGTTCCCCATTAGACTGGCAAAAGGAATTGGAATTGAGCCAGAGAGGACTTGGTGAAGGTTGTTGCCAGACACCCTGGCTGTACCGAGCTGCTGTCGGGTAGTCCCCGTCACCTCGCTTCCACAGCTTTTCCACCAGAGTGGTCCTACACATCTGGGAAGAGGCAGTTTCTCCATTTTGTTCCTGTTCCTCCCCCACTACCTCTGTAGCCGTAGGCAAGAGAACAAAAGGAAATCTTTGGTTTCGTAAATCAAGAGTGGAGTACTTCTTATTTGTAATGAACCCGACATTGATGTCATTGATTAAAGCCGTTTTAGCTATTTATTACATGTCACTTGTTCACCAGGGAAACAGATCCTGACTAGACTAGTTAATAGTAGTTAGGATTTTAGAGGGGAGCAGGAGGCAGAGGGAGTCTCCCCACATGTACAGTTAATGGAAGCAAAGAATTTGATTAGGCAATAGGGGATCACAGGAATGAAATGAAAACTGGAAAGAAAATTTTAGATTTATGTTACCAAGGGAATCCCCTTGGCCTTTTGCACGTGAGGTAGTTTTTTGAGAAAAGGATAAAGTGGGTAAGATGCTTGTTCCTGGTACATTAAAACACAGCCAAGAAAACAAACTCTTGCCCCCTGCCCCCGTGGAACTCTAGCAACAGTTCTGATGTTTGAATAGGTAAAAACAGAGCTATTTGATATTTTTGACTATCTGAAAGAGCCCAAGATTGTAATGAAAGCATAATAATTCACAGATATTGAATTATTTGAAGAAGCTTACATGGACCATTTTACATTTGATAGGGCATAGAAAAGAAGTAATTATCACCCTGGGATACTCACCTTCCTTCATATACCTCAAACCTTTCTTCCACATGGTGAGGCTGCTGCTGCTGTTTCTTTTTTTTTTAAATAGACTTTATTTTTTAGAGCAGTTTTAAGTTCACAGCAAAATTGAGCAGAAAGTAGAGGGAGCTCCCAAATATTCCCTGGCCCCACACACACACAGCCCCTCCCATTAACATCCCCCACTGGAGTGGTCCATTTGTTGCAGTCGATAAACCTAATTGACATATAATCATCACCCAAAGTCCGTAGTTTACATTAGGGTTCACTCTCAGTGTTGTCCATTCTGTGGGTTTTGACAAATATATAATGACATGTATCCATCATTATAGTATCATACAGAAGTGAGGCTGCTTTCAAATTTAATTGCTAGAATTCTGTGTAATAACTTGTGGAGGTCTCTGAAAATGCAAGAGGAATGTGATGATTGGATTGTCCACACGTATACTTCCTTGTATGATATCCATGTGTGCCTCTCTTCTCTAAATAGGCCACGGCTCAGATGGAAGAACGTCTGAAGGAAATTATCACCAGCTACTCGCCTGACCATGTCCTCCCCCTCGCGGATGGAGTGCTTAGTTTCACTCACCATCAGATTATTGAACTGGCTCGAGATTGCTTGGATAAATCCCACCAGGGGCTCATCACCTCACGATACTTCCTTGAATTACAGCACAAATTAGATAAGTTGCTACACGAGGTATGGATCATACCCCATATAAAGTTTTCTGATTTGTTTTGCTTTTCCTCTGAAAAAAGAAAAATTGTATGAGAGCATTTGCTTAACAAGTTTTAACCATGAGATGTAGTTTATATACCAGGGAAGCAAAGAAGAAGAAGAAAAAAAATTGATTGCTACTTGCTATAAATTGATTCTGGTCGTCATTTTTAGTAATAGAAAGTTAATGTAATAACCTTTACAGGAACCTTGGGACCCAACAATCTATGGCTGTGGGATAAGTGGATTTTGAAGGATTTTGAAGTAGTGATTTTTTCCCCTACAACCATAAAGTTATAAATTGCCTGAGTGTATGTGCGTTATTTGATGATGCTATCTAGTTCTAATATCTCCAAAAGCTAAATGGAAAATTGCTAGCTCCTTCCAGGCCGTGTGTCCTATTAATTAACCTGCTTGTGGTGTTGGGTAGTAAATGGCAATGTATATTTTCATTAGTGTCAGTTCTTCTTCTAACAAAATATCCAATTCCAAAATGACAGATAAACACAGGACCTGTCTAGGTCTAACTCGTGCATGCCCAGCTCCTGATAACACCCAGGACAGGAAGGGGTTGTGTATGGTGGAGTGGAATTAGTGCATAATGTTGCTATTCTGACTGAAATTGATCAGCCACAGCCTACAAGTAAAACCTATTTAGCCTATATTTAGCCTGGATATATGCTATTTCTGTATCTCATAGGGCATAAATTATGCCCATGTAAACATAATCGAAGGTGGTTTTCTATAAGCATGAACATGTAAATAATTGCATGGAACTGAGAGAAAATATTAGCATCCTAATTTTCTAGAAATCCATTTGTCCTTGCCCCTACTGAATTTGATTGTGGCAAAATAAGAAGGTCCCTCTCTGGCTAGCAGCCACTATATTTTTTTTTTCCTTTCCCATCCAAACCTCTCAACTGAGTTTTCTATACTCTGTTCCCACTTCTCACATTTCAGCCTATTGCGGCCCACTAAGACAGTGTTTCTCAGACTATCTTTGGGGATTAACACATTGTTTTGGGGTTTTATTGTTCATTTCCAATTTCTCGTGGACCAATTCTCCTATAAATTAAAATGAAAATTAATTTACAGGAAAATGACCATGCATTTCGGTGTCCCAGAAATATAAAATTGCTATAGGAGTTGCTAAATGTTTACTCTCAATAACTGTGCTTATCTCTTCACAGACTGGTAACAGTTCATGGACTGGCACCAGTCTTCAGACCATGCTTTGAATAGCACTGCGTTAGAACATAGTGTCTGTGTGGGCAGGGATGTTGTCTGTTTTGTTCACCTAGGATAGGGTGTGACACATAGTATGTGTTGAATGAATGGCTTCTGACTCCCTCTCCCTAAACCCACTGATGTGAGATCAACTCCTCCCTCCTATTCTATAACCACTATCTAACTCAGACCCTCATCCTCACTGGTCTGCCTCCCTCCAGTCCTAACCCCTCAAATTTATACTTCTGTGCAGCTGCAAGAATGTCTATCTGACATTCTTCAGTGGCTCCCTTCTGCCTACAAGTGAAAACCATAACATGGCCTGTGGCTGTACTCTCTGTCTCAGTGCATTTAACCACAGTGCATTGTAATGATCTGTTTTGGGCCCTCACTTCTTCAGCATACAGTGGGTTTTTTGAGGGACAGGGATCATTTCCAAATCATCTCTAACTCCCTGGTGCCTAGCACCATGCCTGGTATTTATTGATTCCTCAGTAACTGGGAAGGAGGGAGGAGGAAGATGCATATGTCTGCATGCCAAAATATTTGATCTATTATGATTTATCATCACATAATCTAATGCTGCTGTTCCTTTTAATCAAATCAGCTTCTGGAAAATGCTAAAACACTATGCATATTACTTTTTATGAAAATACTTTGAATATTATAATTAACAGTGCATTTTTAAACAGAGGAGGCAGATAAGAGAGGAACTCTTTGTGAGATACTCCTTCCTTCATTCCACAGTTCTGTCCCAGGATGTTACCATAATTACCAGTTTAGTCCTGGTTTTTTTTTTTTTTTTTTGCTGAGGCTCGGGAAGATTCTCCCTGAGCTAACATCCATTGCCAATCTTCCTCTTTTTTTTTGCTTGAGGAAGATGGCCCTAAGCTAACATTTGTGCCAGTCCTCCTCTATTTTGTATGTGGGACACTGCCACAGCATGGCTGACAAGTGGTGTAGGTCCACACCCGGATCCGAACCTGCAAACCCAGGCCACCAAAGCAGAGCATGCAGAACTTAACCACTACACCATGGGGCTGGCGCCTAGTCCTAGGTTTTTTATTCCTTTCTAGGCATTCCCTAAAAAGGGTAAAATCCATATCCAAACCTATTTACATTGAAACCTCCCGCTTGGTTTTGTTTCTGAGTGATAGACTTCACAGATTGTTGAACGGCAATTAAAATCGTAGGGTTTCAAAAATCATCTGAATGGGCCATATAATAGATAGAAAATTGCTGATTTTTAGAGGAATTCCTCTTTGGGGCAGAGTAACGTGTACTTGTGGCATAAAGGGCATTGTTGGGTAAGAATTAGAATGTCTTCTTGTTTAATCTTCACAAGTAAACATTTCCTTCAGTCCTTTTGTGAAAACTAAAACTGTCTGCAGAATCACATTTACGATGTCCTTCCAGAGTTTGGAGCTAAGTGGTCACCGGGGAACTTGTCTCTTCTATATAGAGTGGAATTGTGGGAACTTCCTCTGCTTGTCCCATGATGCAATTGTTGTCACTTCCCAGCTGTGACATTGTGTGCCTGCCCGCTTGTCTCCCAGCCACTTTTCCCTGTTGTCAATCTTCTGCATACCCAGGCAAGATCTCCCTGAGATTTGAGCAGCTTGATGCCTTTTTAAAGTCCTGAGGTCTAGGTCAATTCCAGATAAATGCTTTTATGTCTCCATTCTTTTATTCACTTAGGTGTATTTAACCAAAGAAAATAAAATACGTAAAAAGCTGTAACCCTCTCTTAAATCCGGATCTCAGTATTTTTTATAGTGGCCAACACTTAAAGTACAAACACAGGGAATCCCTGAGTATTGGAGTTTGCTGCTGGCAACCTAGAAACTGTTTCTCTTCTCATGCTAAGAGTGTGGTTTCGCTTGGTGGTGTTTTAACAAAGCTCCCCTCCTCCCCCAGTGACAGTAGATAAAATACTATTTGTGTTAGTATAACTTCTATGTTTTGGCCTTGGTTGTGGCTGATAATTCTTAGAAGTAAGAAGCTGGAATGAACTGATTATTTTTACAATTTTTGGAATGGAATTTGAATAATCTAAACTACTTTTAAAATTTTTGAGATATAGAGTTCTTGTTTCCCTTTGAAGAAACCACCAAAACATGTTCAGTCTGTTTTTTGTTTTTTTTTTTAAGATCTGACACAAGAGATTCTTTTTTTTTCTCTTTGTTTTTTTGAGGAAGATTGGCCCTGAGCTAACATCTGTTGCCAATCTTCCTCTTTCTTTTTTCTCCCCAAAGCCCCAGCACATAGTTGTATATCCTAGTTGTAGATCCTTCTACTTTTTCTATGTGGGACGCGGCCTCAGCATAGCTTGATGAGCGGTAGGTCCACACCCAGGATCCGAACCGGCAAACCCAGGACGCCAAAGCGGAACATGTGAACTTACCTGTTGTGCCACCAGGCTGGCCCCTTTCAGTCTTTCTTGATTTTCTTTATATCCCTAAATTTATAAAATAGTAATTATAGTGAGAGGAAATTCGGTTTCTAGGCCAAATTATCGATCAAGATGTTAGGTGTTTGCTTCATCTTTAAGGTTTTCTGTTTAGTTTTGATTAAGGATAAACTATAAAGAAGACATATAACCATATTTCTTGGCATTCATTATGTCTTCCAAAATCTGTTTTTGTTGCAAAACAAAAATTGGAGAGAAAACTTAGAGACAGTTTAAATATTGTATCTCCTTATATATATCCTAGCAACCTTTTTAGTTACTAGGACCTGTAGTTATAGTTACTAGTTGGTTTTCTTTGAACACATTCTATTCTACAATTATTTACCAATGCTCATTTATCCTGTGTTTTTTCTTTTAAATGTTAGCTGTTTTGCTTTTGCCTGTATCTGGTTTCTGCACCTACATTTTGGAAAGTTGCCTTTGATTTGATGGCTTAAATGTAGTAGACATATTACTGCTAAGTATAATCATTTTTCATAGATTTGGTCTGCCAGTTCTTTTCATGGGGGGGCTAGTCCTTGTCAGAATGAAGCACCTTTGAGAATGATTTTAAGCGTTTATTACTGTGTCTGTGAAATTATATTCTATTACACCAGCATCACCTTGACATATTTTTTTAATCTTTATAGGAAAATAAATCATAAAAATTTAAAAATTAAGAAAACCTAAAAGTGAGCATGCATAGAAGTTTAGATTTAAACTTTTATAACTCGTTTTAAGTCTGCCTTGATACAGATTTACATCATTTCTTCAAGAAAATATCATTGAAAATTAAAATGACTCTTAATAAACTGAGTTTTGTTCTCAGGATACTTTTTGTGCTTAGATTTCACGTGTAGGCAACATGTAAAATAAAATTTAAAAAGATTTTAAGTCAGTTAAATTTTACTGAGTTGAGTGCCTAGGTATTATTTATTCAGTATGTGAAATCAAATTCATGTGTATATATCCAAGTAGAAACATTATCAACCTAATATTTGAAATAAGCAGTGCACACTTCTTATATGTTATGAAATAGCTGATTTATAGGCTAATTGTGTTGCATATATAAAATGGATTTTCTGAATGTGTTCAATGCCCAGGATAACAAAAGCAATCCTTCAGTATGGTAGCCATTTCAGACATTTAAGATGTTACATCCAGAATATCAAGGTTCCTCATCAGCTGCCTACTCTATCTACTTCTACCATGTACTTAATACGTCATAAACTTTTAATGTCTCCTTCATTCATGGTTCACATTAAGAGCCCTAACATCTGATTTTTAACACAGAGAATAAATCACAGTTTTGCAATTAAAATTTAGCTAATAGAGCCATTTTGCAGTATAGAAGTTTAATAGTGTCCATTTATGTAGAGATACTGTCTGCTTATCAATCTCTTAGAAGTATTTTCGAAATCACTTAATTTTTGAATATTTGCAGTTATCTAATTAGCATGCTTTGCTGATTTTCTTTTCCATTTAATGGAGCAGCACTGTATCATCATTCTTTTCATTGCTCTCCCGTAGGCTCATGATCGTTCAGAAAGTGGAGAATTGGCATTTATTAAACAACTGGTTCGAAAGATCCTAATTGTTATTGCTCGCCCTGCTCGGTTATTAGAGTGCCTGGTAAGTTGCCTCTACATGTGACTCTGTTATTTATTGTTAACTGTGGGAAAGCAGTGACCACCGGAAAGTTCCAGTTCCATTTGGCTTCAAAGACCAGAGCTAAATGCAAAGAGGAACTACAACTCGTGAATGTTTATGATGGCATCCATGTGTGATTTTTCTTTTCTGATTTTAAGTAAGAATTCTAGGACTTGTGCTGTATCGGTGATCATTATATCACATTCTGGTCAAACTTGAAAAATGATCATGAAATAATGTGCTTGAGCCTATGTCAGCATACTATGTTACAGCTAATTTAGAACACTTGCTGTGCTTCACTTTTCTGGAGTTGCCAAGATGCAGAGAGAGGGAAATCAGAGATGTGATATATGGTGACTTGTGATTCTAGTTATTATTTATATTTAAAATGTGGCATGTTAGAAATAAGTGCTAGTCAGCAACCCATTTCGGAGAATACAAAAGGGCCTCCTCCAGACCTGAAGGAATAAGACTTTCAAAGATAAGTTTATTTTATCAATTATATTTTCTGGGCCGGCCCCGTGGCTTGGTGGTTAAGTGAGCGCGCTCCGCTGCTGGCGACCCGGGTTTGGATCCCGGGCGCGCACCGACGCGCTGCTTCTCCGGCCATGCTGAGGCCGCGTCCCACA